CTCTTCCCTCATAAATCCATGTTGGTCTTTAAAAAAATCTTGGTCTTAAAAAATTGTTCAAATATTCAACACAACATCCAGTAAATTCTTCAAAAGTATAGGTACTCCTTCTACAAATGATACACACAGGAAGAAAAACAAGTAAATAATTCTAAATCTTTTTGCATAGCTCTTTTAGGATCAAAATTAGCACATTTGAAATATAGGTATGTATGAAATCTGAATCTATGAGTACATGTATCACATAAAGTACCAACTTAAATATCCTTTTAACAAAAAATTTTACATCGTCTTTGTAGTGGCAGATTTCTGCCATCAAGATCCCCTATAATATTCCAAAAATATCAGTGGATAACAGAAAAAAGTTGTAAGTGCAAAGCACCATTATATTTTAATTGTGTATTTCTATTATATTGATAGAGATATGAGTCCCTGTAGGAAAAAAAAAAATAAAAAAAAACAAACAAAAAACTTTAATACATTGCTAACATAATGTTGAAGAACAATGAAAAGAAATGATGGAGAATATCTATGTTCTTAGAGACTGTCACGAAAAGAAAGAAAAATAATGTCTCCGGATTTTTAAAGCTATATGATTAATACTGCACAATGTTTAAGATAAATTCCTCTGTATTCTCTGGTCAATAACAGTAAACAATTTTCACCATAACATCATGTTGGACTAGACAAAAGAGAAATATATTCTCATCTTTAGACTCCTCTTAAATAACACTCGTATCAGTTTACAGATGAAGTATAAAGCAGAAATAAAATAAGGAGAAAAAAAATCTTCTAAAATTCTTCAAAAGTCAATTGTCCATGTATATGTTTCTATGGAGCAAGAAATAGGTCAGCACAAAACATTTGTTCTTTATACCAAAAGAATCAAACTTCAGAACACTTCTTAGAGTTGAAAGGATTTGGGCTTTTATGAAATAAAACATGAAAACTAGTGGCAGCCATTTACTTTTAAGTTAAAGCAAAAACTACTGTAGATTTCCTGTTTCAGGTTTTTGTATGTGTTCATAACTGGTCATACAAGATTGATTTGTTGATCTTTTGTGTGGATTCAATGTGGTTTGATTCTGCTTTTCAACTAGAATACCAAATCATATCAGTCCTACACTCAGGTGCTTTGGGAATGGTTTATTTTCCCCTGCCTTCTTTACCTAAATGCAAGTATATTTCACAAGAAACTATAGAAATGAAAAACGGCTGAAATTCTTATTCCACTCCCATGTCGATGCTTAAGGTGGACAATGAAAAATTAAAATGGAAAAAGTGATTATAAACATTTAGTAGCCCCAGGGGTCATTGAAGTCTTGTTCTTAAAACTGAAAGTGATAGACCTCTGGGATTTTAAAGACAATGTTGTTATTAACAAAGGCACCTCTATTTCACAGTCCGTTGCCCATCCATTTCTATGAGGACAACTCTTAGAAAAAGCCCCATCTAATGCAAGGAGGTACAGTATCAATTCTGTCAGCACCACTTACTTTAATCATGGCTAAATTTGTACAGTTAAGCATCGTGGATGATGCTACCATAATTTTACACCATAAAAACATAGAGAATGGGGGAGCTAGTGCAAAAACATCAGGAAACTACGTGGGTATTTATTAGATTCTTATGTCCATGTAAAGCAAAAGAAATAATACACCTTATCTTAAAACGCAACTGGAGAACAGTAAATTCAGCAGATTGGTTAATACTGGAAATCTGTGAATTATCATTAACACATCATAGAATTTTTTTTTTTGTTATTTCCAGAGAATATCACCCCCTCAATGACACCTACAGAAAATGTTATTCCTTTAAATGCCCAAAGACAAATAAATTCACAGGAAGGCAGAGCAAGGTATTTCCAAAGAAGTACACTAAAACCTGAGGTCAGTGTGCCCAGAGAAGTTCAGAACAGCTCCTGAGTTTCATAAACAGGATACAAATTGCTGAGGAATGAAAGTGACCTAAAATGTATGACACAAAGGAAAGGCAATATATTGATATCCAAGAAAGATCAGTGATCTCAGACATAGCTAAAAAGCCATGTTCAATTTTCTGCTTTACCACTCTGCCACAGTGAAGATATAGATATACTTCATACGTGGCCTGGGTTTTTTTCCTCATCATCTCCTGCTGGGTTACTGTGAGAAACAAAACTCTGACTAGACAGATCACTGTTCTGCCCCAACATGGTAACTTCACTGTGACACGAAACATCTGTTTGTGTCTAGCCTCTTGAGACCTCCGAGGAATAACCTCTCCTCTGACAACTCCTATCAGCATAGTCTTAGCCCTGGATATGCTCACTGTGGATCACCTAATATTTTTTTAGACTGATGAACAATAGTTAAAATATGACTACCAGTGGATGTACAAAAAAACATGAGATGAATTCTGTGATTCGAGAGCAGGGGCTCAAAAGTAATAAAAGCAATTTCAGCAGATTAACCTTTTTCAGTGTACTGAGATTTTAAAACATATATGTTTATTATTACAGGTCATATAACAAATTATTCCTCCTACTTGTTTTGGGGGTTTATGTACAATTTTGAGGGGTCATATCACAAATTTACCCAAGAGGAAACAGATGTACTTAGCCCAAGATTACACTTTGCTGTTTAGTACATGTTTTAGAGCATGAATAGAAATAAGTCTTTCTCAGGATGTCTTCAGCATGTTCTGAAAGACAGAAGTGCTGAACAGATAAAACTCAGAATTGTACTTCCAGTTTTGCCTCTAGCCAGCTGTGTGAGTTAGAATTCAATATTTCATTTCTCTATTCTCTATCTCCCTGTCTCTTCTCTTATTTAGAGTGTTGGTTTTACTGAGTAGAATCTGTCTCTTACTCAAGGAGACCTTCATCCTGATCAGGTCCTCTAGGCATTCCTGCAGTATGCACTTACAATGCATCATAAGCTTTCCTTCTCTTCATGATTATCTATTATTCATATTGTGGTAGTGTCTAGAGACCAATAAGTTAAGATTGTGACAAGATACAATACATGGATAAATACAGATGGCTGGTGGATAGTTAATAATAGAGATGGGGATATGTACATAACTTAATGGTGTCAGTAACTACTAATGTTCTTCTTTTCAAATTAGATTTAATGATTATTTTTTCCCTGAGTGCAACAAATGAATTTGTAGGAATTCCATAGTAGTATTTACCTTCTTTAGAGCTGACACTTCTCATTTTTCATTTTATAATATTTTTAATGGTTATAAAATTAGTAGTGGCATGAAGGGTTTATGATTTTTTTTTTTTTTTTTGTGTCATTAAAATACCACAGTTTACCAGGAGTTAATGTCCAGGAAATGTGGAATACTATAGAAATAAAAAATTGTAAGAAATACTATCATTAGCTACTCTACTTAACAACACAGTAATTTTATAGAGGTCAAACCTGAGTTTGAAATACTTGAAAATTTCAAAGATAACAAAAAATTGTTCTGGCTGAAGGGGGTGAAAAAGCTTTTTTTTTTTTTTTTTTTTTTTTTTTTTTTTTTTTTTTTTTTTTCCCAAAAGCAATCTCTGTAAATGTTAATATTTTTTATTTCCTCCCTCTTATCAGGCCCAGATTCTGCCATCTTCTCCTTGGTATAAGTGAACATTACACATGGATAGTCCCTATTAATTCAAGGGACTTTTCAGTATAAGTAGAACTAACTAATAAAGCCACTGTTGAATGAATAAACATTAAATTCTGCTGATTCCTACCTCAATGACACATACATTTTTTACTACATTAATGTATATTAATAATTATACTAATGCCCAAAAGATGCTCAACAGCAAGAAAATAATTTTTTTGGCAATCATTTTTGACATCATGGAGTCACAGAATCATTGAGGTTGTCAGGGACTTCTGGTGTTCATTTAGTCCAAAACCCTACTCAAGCAGGGCCACCTAGAACAGGCTGCCCAGGACTACATCTATACAGTTTTGAATATCTCCATGGATGGAGGCTCCACAGACTCTCAGGCCAAACTATACCAGTGCTCTCCTGTACTGGGGAGCTCATAACCAGGAACAGGTTTCCAGGTGTGGCCTCAACAGTACTGAGTAGAGAGGGGAAGGATCACCTCACCTCCCTTAACCTGCTGTCAACACTGCTGCTAATGATGTCCAGGATACCATGAGCCTTCCCTGATGCAAAGGAACATTTCTGCCTCATGCTCAGCTTGGTGTTCACCAGGTGTCTGGCAGGACATGCATATATGATACCTAATACAACATCATGAATCCAAGGCTGTTCAAGGCATTAAATTATTTGGGTTTATACCCTGTATATATCTTCCACATTTGTACACACCTTAACTGTTTTAGAAGTGGAAGTTCAGTCAAACAGAATACATCCCTGACTTCTCTTCCAGCTCAGACTGTCCCACTGTACTCCAGCCATATAATCATGCAATAGTCATCATCTGTAGTGTATTTCAGTGTAATGCAGATACATGTGAATACTTATCAGTACTTAAATTTATAATGCAAGTAAACCCAATGCACATAGCAGACCATGTGATACCAGAGCACAACTCCAATGTATTAAGTTCAGTAATCACTTGAATTTTGTACAGAATGTGAACTAAGAATTTAATAGTGGAAAACGGTACTGAAATAACTAAACTTTAAAAACCACACTCCAGACTGGTGTTTTTGAATTATTTTAGTATTTTGAAAGACTGCTTTCTATCTTATAACATTTTTTTTGTTTGTATTCTGTGATTATAATTGCACAAACATTAGTAGTTATAGATCATGAAACCACAAATCTGTTGTTGAGAGAGATTTTATACAACGTATTTCTGGAATAAGAAACTATAATATGACCATGACACAATTTAATTGTCATTACAAAATTGGCGTTTAATCTAAAGTTTACAAATCTTGCTTCTATCTAAGTGCTATTTAGGAGCATCTTCTCAGCGTATGACAATGTAGAATAGGCAGAGATATTGAAAGGTATTGAAAAAGAAAATAAGCTCTACTCACCTATAGTTGGGTCATGATAGTCAGGGAACCGATGGCTTATGAACTGCATTGTCATCGCTGGAGAAGAGAAAGAGGGAATTAAAAAGAATATCACTGTCTTTAAATGACAACAGAGAAAAGAAGAGAATTCACTCATCCAAGTGTCAGCTTAGAAAGTAAGGCAAAAGTCTGTTTTATGTCTACAGTTGCAAGAACACATTGACATTATAGTGATAACTAAGAACTGATAAATTGAAAAAATATGAATTAAAATTCTATATTTATTTTAATTTTTTTATTTTTAAACTGCATTTTTTTTATTTCTTCTATTAAATTATTACATCTTTTTTAACACTTCATAAATACTGTTAACCTGGTATTATATACAGTTGCCATGAAGAAAACATAAAGTATGATTTATAAGCCTAATTCATAAAAGTTTTCATGGTGTTACAAAAAGTCACTAACTGCAGTATCTGGTTTGATTTCTGGTGTATTTTAGGAATACCTAACCCCCCAGACTTGATGCAGAAGACAAATGCTTCGGTTAACCACCTAGTGCTTGGTTTCCGCTGAACAGACTGGTTTATGGCTGAATATTACCTGCTTTCAGAAATTTTAGGAAAATTACATGAGTCTTCAGGAAAATTGTGTTACATCATTTGGAATAGGTGACACTCTGGAAGTGAAATTCCAATTTATGTAGAAAGCCAGAAACATTCATATCCCATCGAATCATAAGTTTCTAACATGACATCTAAAGTTCATGGACTTTGAATAACCATGAAAGTGGGCCCGAATACTCAGTGGTCACAATAATGCCATTAGTTATCAGAACAACATGGGGAGTTATGTTATCTCTGTTGGTTTTCCTCATGATTTTGAATCTCAGATCATTTGAAAAGTAAAGGTATCTACCTTACTCTGACAGATGTGATGAAAAGACCTTCAAAAGCAAAATAGGCAAAATAGGTGAATTTTAATTGAACAGAAGAAGGAAAAAAAAAAAAAAAAAAAAAAAAAAAAAGGACCTAACGGACTTTTAAAAATACTCCTTGATTTTACAGCCAATATCATTATTTTACTTTTAATGTTTTTTTAATGCCTACCTTAAAATTCCTCTGTAGATTTTATGTGGACATTTGTTTAAAAAAGTACCCTACCTGAATGATAACTATCAGCCACAAGGCATTAAATCAAACACCAGATTCTGCCTTACATCTTTAACATCTCAGTTACCTTCAATAACAGGGGTTATAAACAACAAATGTGACATTATAAAAATTCTGTGCATAAATATACCCATTTTTAAAACAGCATTGTTGTAGTTTAATGTTTGTCCTCCTTACATTTTCAAGAATTAGGAGGTTAAGGAGATAGTTTTACAAAGTGAGACAGACAAGGAGTATTAAACATTTATTACCATGTTAATAAATTATTACATCTTTAGTTTAGACAAATATAAATGTTAAGAAGCAGCATTATAAATTCATAGTAACTCAGAGAGGGTAACTGTTTAAAAAAACCTAATTCAGTCTATACATATCATAGGGGAATAAATCTATGTGCAGTGACACTCAGGTCTTCTATATTATCTGTTGTCAGATGCACTACTTTTAAGTACTGTGTATGTTTGGACACTTTCATTTCCAGGACACCTGTTTTTTTAATCACAACAGATTTTTAGGCACCTCCCTCTGATAACTGTTTGGTGGTTTATGAAGAATAAATTGATGCCTAATGTGATCTGCCTAGTTTGCTCTGAGAAGCAGAAGCAGCTAGCAGAGACACTGTTTGTATGGTTTATGCCTACACATTTTGAGATTTCTGAGGGCTTGTACTACAAATTAATTCAATTTGCTTCACTACCTGCTGCTTTTTCTTGACAAGTTGTTTTTTTGTTTTTGCCTTTTTTGTTGTTGTTGTTGTTGTTGTTGTTTTGGTTGGTTGGTTGGTTGGTTGGTTGGTTGGTTGGTTGGTTGGTTGGTTGGTTGGTTGGTTGTTTTTTTTTAAAAAAAAAAAAAATCAAAACGAAAAGTACTCTGTATCTGATCACATTCTGTTTCCTTTTGGAGATATGCCTGCATCACAAAATCTGTTGTTTTAACTGAAATTAAAATTCTCAGAGGACACCCAGAACTCAAAGATTTTTTCTCTCTCCTGAGACAGCCCCAAATCAATACATCATTTATACCCTTATCAAATTCACAGGATATAAGAGGACTGAAATAATTTGGAAGCATCATACTAACTTTCTACTGTAGCATGCAGAATGTTAGCCACTGGGATGTGTAAAATTTGTATTCCCCAGACCACACTCTATGTGTGAATATGCATCATCAAAACCTTCGCAGGAACTTAGACTGCACACAGTGCTTTAGAGACAGATGAGAAGAGGAATTTATAATGTCTTATAATGTCAAACTCAACAAGACTGACTTGTATATGCTTGATTCTAGCCTTGGTCCAGAGCTCTACATGAGCTGACTTGGTTATGTAAGAAATTAATCTGGAGATATAGAGAATTTGAGAAAGGTGTTCAGAGAAATACTTTACATAATGAAATTAAAACGTCTTGCCATCAGCTGGCTAGGGAAATGCTGAATAAAAGTTTCCTTTTTTTATGCATTTTGTTGTACAGCTGCTTCCATGACAGCCCTTTGTCATGGATTCCAACAAATTATCAAGGTAAGGAACCTCTTTGGCCCTTTTAACATTTTTCATCTCCTGCATGGGGATTAGCACCATCTTCCAGAAACACATTACATGTTTTGTTTTGTTTTTGTTTTTGTTTTGTTTTTTTTTTTTTTTCTCAGACAGAAGGAAATGAGGTACACTGATCTCTTTAATCACTGAAATACAATGTAAAATAAGGAAAATGGGGTACAAGAAGTGGGAATTGCAACCCATCTTCCTCTATGTGTTCTTTAAAATAAGAATTTGCATTTTCCATTAAACCCTACTGAATATTAGTGTAGCAACCATTTTCAGAACAAACATAACAGGTCACTTCTTCCTCTAAGGGAAAAGAACAACCAGTTTTTGGCTTCAAACCAGACACACCTTATTCCATGAAGATGAGGGACAAGGAAGTCTGAAAACATCAGGTCTGATTCTACAACAGTTGTGTCCAGATTTGCCAGGTATACCACAGTCTTGGCTGCTAGATATGCAGGAATTAGTTCTGAATGATGGACAGAAGTTAGTGTGATGTTTCCCAGAGCAAAAGAAGGCTCAGTCATGTCTGCCAAGAAACGACACAACTCAGCTGGAGCCTTGGGAATTGGAGCTGCTTATAACTAACTCTGTCGGGGCTTCACAGCAGGACAGCTGCTTCAGCTGGATACTAACTTCTGGATTCTTCTTCATTGATACTAACATGTGCTCCAAAGTAATTTTTCAGAGCAAATTAATTTTGAAAACTAATATAAAAATGGTATGGGTGTTCCAAGTGTTTTATGAAAATATTTTCCTGAATCCCTCCTTTTTTTCCTTACCCATTATCCTTTTTTCCATGTAAATTAACACTCACATATAACAAATCCTAAACATCATCAGATATTGTTGTGACAATTTTCTTTTGGAAATCCAAATAATACTGTTCCAAATCTATAATCTCTATATTAGGGATCTTTAATTTATGCCACACACAAAGCATTGTATTAAAATGTGTCTTTAAATCAGGATATTAAAACAGAATATATGGGTGAAACTGATATTTGAATAAATACATATACATAGGAAAACAGAGTCAGTTAAAAATTGGTAAAAAACAAAACAAAACCTTCTAACCCATAGCAGATATTGTGAAACATTTTGAATTTCAAATTGCTTGAAAATTTTTAATGAATATTTTATAACACTGTGAAGATCATTCCATTTAAATGGGACATGTATATCACATGGCAACTACGATAAGAGGATCATTGTTTCAGATGAATAGTATCTTCTTTATATCCATCTGTGGCTAAGCAAATACGGATTACCTCAGATGAATAAATATAAATCTGATATACATAAGTAGCAATGTAACTTTAAAGTTCTCTTGTATTTTTAGAGTAGAAGAGGGGTTCAGATCCTGCATTTAATTTTCAGTTTTTTCAAATTATGCTTATCCAATAATCATTAACTAGATAGAAAAGTATACATGATACCTACACTGGAACTGATATATATATATATATATATTTTTTTTTTTTATGAATAATGAACTTAATCCTGTCTGCTACTTTCAATATAATTCCTACTCTATTCTTAATCATATTTTATTTACCTACCAGTAGGTGGTGTTATGCTTAGAAAAATGTTGAGGTTATTTATTCTAAAGCATCCTTTTGATAAGTGCAGCAATATTAAATTTCATGTAAAGAAGGTATCAGCTTTTTAAAATATATGTGTTTTTGTGGGCCCACAGGTTAATAAAATAAATGCTTCAATATCCATGCAGTTGTGTGAGCAGATAGAGTAGAATCCCACTGTCCTTCTAATTTGTTCTAAATTGTATTTATACTGACAACTTTGAGAGTAGTCTTATCTTTCAAGGCTGGAGAGTATATTGTGGGTTTATACAATATTCTTTATGGTAATCTCTCCTGTGAATATCTCATTCTGAGCTTCCTATCGCTCCTTATTCACCCAGAAACTTCCACATATTCATACTCTTCTCTGCTGTGTGATCATATGCTAATCTGTTTCCAAAAGGATCTTTACCCTCATCACAAAATCCTACACTTTAGTCTAACAAAATGACCACGGTCGTTGCAACTCAGAGATCTTCAATTTCATGTAGTTGATTAATTTAGATTCACTATTACAATAGAACTTTAACTTGTGTTTTCATAAACAGTGAGGTTTTGGAGATACCAGCATAGCAGATGGACATAAAAATAATATAATATGGTAAAGCCAATGGATCTATAGATTTGTTCATGAAGTTCATGGGAAAAAAAGAAAGCATACAGATATTATTAACACAGAGAAGGTAGCAAGGTAACAAAGAAGCTACAGAGTCTAAAACCAGAACAGTAGACCATATTAACAAAGTATGCACCATAGAAAGAGACTTTGTCATAGAAAAA